GAATGTCCTTTTATATGAGATAAAATTATTCTAAAATCCAACGTTTTGGCAAACCATTGAAAAAAATATCCATGAAAATAGAGTCCTGTTTCACAGAAAGAGAGTTCATATATTGGTTTTATTACTTGAGAAATGTATATGGTATTCAAAGACATTGTGATCACTAAAATTTGCTAAGAAAAACTTATGGAAATTTTGTTTCTAGACTTAATTTGATAAAGTTTCAAGTGCTGTTCGATTTTGTATAATAAATATTTTTCATCGCGACTGTTTTCATACTTACAACTGGTCTCTTTTCTTAGATTTATATTATTTTCTTGGCTACTTGATTTTTCAGTAAATAAGTGAGTATCATCATGGAACGCTATTAAATGTAGGACATTATCGAGCTTCATAATTTTCACAGGTAGGATCTTTCGGAATAGTAGAAGTTCACTGAAAATTACGATGATTGTTCTTTCAAAATAGCCTATTTTCTTATATGAAGGAGTCGATATGTTGACGATATTTTAACAATACTCAACGGTTCTTTTAAATATTTTTATGCATCAATAATCAGCATAGGATTCCTAATGAATTGATATAACTAATTTTTTCATGAGTGGAAAAAGATCTATTTGGTCGCCAAACCTCTGAAAAGGAATACAAGTACAGATTTGTAGGAAAGAGGTCGTCTATATCCGTATTTGACTTATGCACAAGAATCTAGAAGAATGTACAAATATTTCAATGTACCCGTGCCCCCTCTCCTTAGAGATTTGCCGACCAAAAAACTTTTTTTTCCCCATTTATTACATGAGTTATTTATATCAGCTCATTAGGAAATCTGTGCTGATGATTGATGCATAAAAATTTTTAATACAACCGTTGAGTTTTGTTAAAACATTGTTAATATACTTCTTTCATACAGCAACAATGCCCAGCAAGTTGACAACGGATTCCTACTGTTTCGAAAGATGTTATTTATAAAATATATAGGACTCAATAGTATATAATTATAGACAGAGTTTCACAGTAACATTTCAAGTAATCAAAAAAAATAGCATAAAATTAAATAATGTATCAAATTAAATCTAGAATTAAATTTCTCTTAGCAAATATTAGTAATCATAATTTTTATGCATTTCTCAAGAACTATCACCAATATATGAACTTTTAGTATATCAAAATTTGAAGAAAACTCGATTTTTTTATATACGATTGGATGTGTACCAAGCTTTTCTACAAAGTCATATATGGTATGCTAATTCAAGATCGTTCATCCAACTTGACAAGATCTTCTGTTTGAAACGGAAACCTGAAAGTAGTCGGAGTTCTTTACTTATGGTAAAAACATTAGGAATGTACATGTGTCTTTTTTTGTTCCGGTTGTAGAATAAAACATTTCGACAGATTCTCAAAACTATCATTATAATTATTCTAAACTATTCAAAAAAAAACATGAAGAATATCAATCTTTATCTTAGATCAATGGATACGTTCTGTACACAAATTTTTAAATATCCTTGAGCCTTTACTCCCTGCCAGGACCATCTTTTAAATCATTCACAATAAATATCGAAGATAAATTGTTCATATAAAACCTTATTTTATTCGAAATTAAATAATTGACTTTCTTAATTTTGATTAAACATGAAGAATTATAAATTCTTTAGCAAGGATGATAGTTTGTAAGACAAATCAATTTTAATGATCTTTTCGTGTAGAAAAAGATCATGATAGAAATCGTAGTTTGTATTTTTGTAGACATTTACAATTTTCTTAATATTACAGAAGAGAATTCTTAATATGACTAAAAGAAATATTTCAATAACATATATAACAATTATTTATCAATAATGTATGATATTATCATTGAATATAAATAGTCCTGTGAACTGAATTTTATACGAATCGATAGAACTTTACACGGACTACAAATCTATAAAAATAAAGTTACGAATGTATTCAGAGTCACGACAATGTTATTCTGATTGAAAAGATGATTATTACGACAAAAAAATTATTGAATATTGACCAAAAAAAAAAAAATGTTATTGTTCGAACAAAACTGTCTTAACTCCAAACATGTTCACAGCTTTCTTTTTCTTACAAATTATACATGAATTTGTAGGTGTGAAAAGTTCTAATGATTAGC